ACATTAAGAATAGATACATGTCACAAAGTAAAGCTAAAACTGCCACACAGTGAGGTTCAAAACAAGGTCACAGGGGAAGACCAAAGGGCCAGTCATCAAAACAGGAACTTAGAAACAAGAAATCCATTTGCTGCCAAATTTTTAAAAAAAAAGTGAATGCATGAACAAGCAATTACAAAGTACACAGATTCATTTGAACACTAAAAATAATGTAAATTGCAACACTAAGGCTACTTTTTGATCTAGATTAGCAAAAATTCGGATTCATAAAAAAGGTATAGGAAATGGCGACTGATGGAATGACAAAATAGTACCAAGTGTTTTAAGGGTGACTAGAGAATAATTACCCAAAATCTCCATATATATATGCCTCAATAACCCCATCCTTAGACATTAGGATAGGCAAGGTCCCTGCAGTGAAAAGGCAGAAATAATAGAGGTGCTCATGAAAAAGAAAAACGCACAGATATTAATGGTGGGTGGATGCATCTTTCACCTACAGACACAGAAAGAAATGGTTCTCAAGTGAACACGAAAACCCAGAATGATACACAATTCTATTCACACTATTAAAAGCACACTGTTTTATTATCTTATTTATTATGTGCAACTAACATGTTGTACTGGCTGGTTTTGTTTATCAACTCCATACAAGTTAAGAGTTGTCAAAGAGATTCCTCATTTGAGGAAATGCCATGAGATCCAGCTATAAGGCACTGTTTCTTAGTGACTGATGGAGGAGGGCTCAGCCTGTGTGGGTGAGGCCATCCCTGGACTGGTAGTCCTGGGTTCTGTAAGAAAGCAGGCTGAGCAAGCCATGGGGAGCAAACAGTGAGCAGCACCCCTCCATGGCCTCTGCATCAGTTCCTGCCTCCAGGTCCCAGCCTTGCTTGAGTTTCTGTCCTAACTTCCTCCAATGTTGGACTATGATCTGGAAGTGTAAGCCAAATAACCCTTTCCTCCCCAACTTGATTTTTGGTCATGGTGTTTCCTTGCAGCAATAAAACCTAAGACACATGTGCACAGGGTTACCTTCCAAGGTGTTCATGAAAACGACAGATATTTCCATATCTGAAAAACTACACTCAAGGACTGGGAAGATACTCCAGTTGATGAACTATCTGCCACATAAGCATAAAGACCTTGTTCAAATCCCCAGCACCCACATAAAAAAACTGGTCAAGGGGCTTTTGAATTTATAACTCCAGTGCTAGAATATGGGAGGGAGAAAGAGGGAATCCCTGTAGCTACAGGGGAATCCAATGCCTCTGGCCTCCATGGGCACCTACAGTTACACATAATTAAAAACATAAAATCTTAAAAATAGCTGGTGGTGCATGCACTTGGAGGGCAGAGTCAGGCAGACTTCTGAATTCAAGAGGCCAGCCAGAGCTGCACAAGACATTTGTCTCAAACAAAGCAAACAAATTTGAAATTTATGTACCCAGAGAAACAAACCTGAAGAGCCTGTCACTAGCAGGCCTACACAGCAAGAACAATAGAGTCCTCTCACTCCTCAATTTCTTTTAAATGAAGCTACAATTTTAAAAGGGGAACTAAAGAGATAGCTCAGCAGTTAAGGGGACTGGCTGCTCTTCCAGACCAGGTTCAGTTATCAGCACTTACAAGGTAACTCAGAACCATCTGTTCATACTCCAATTCCAGGAAATCTGACATCCTAGGGCTTCTGGTCTCCTCATACATGCAGGCAAAATATCCATGCACATAAAATAAAAATTAATCTTTAAAAAAGAGTTTTTAAAATGCTGAGGATTAAGCTGCCACACACCTAACAATCAGCATGCAGAAATGAATGCATTCCAGACTTCCTACCCAAGGAAAGCATGATCATAAAGTATGAATTCTCAGCTTCTCTCAGCTAATAACAGTCAACTTTCTGAACACAGTTACAGTTGGCTAATCTAAGTTATGATGTTTTAGAAATTAGATGCTTAAATTCATTTTTAAAGTTTATTTATTTATCGTGGGTACATGCCACCACATACGTGAGGAAGTCACAGGACAACTTGGGAGTCAGTTCTCACCTTCCATCAGGTGAATTCCAGGAATGGAACTCATGTTGTCAGGCTTGACATCAAGTGCCTTTGCCCAATGTACCATCCTGATAACCCATTAAATTCATTTTTTTGGTACAGAGATGTATTTAAATCATAAATTGGGCTATGTGTGGTGACGTAACCCTTTAATTCCAGCACTTAGAGGCAGAGGCAGAGAGATCATTGTGAGTTCAAGGTTAGCTTGGTCTACACTGCCTCAAAAAAAAAAAATTAGTTATGAGTCAAGGAATAAACTGTTGATAAATGTTGATACTAGGCTCATTATTCTTTCTGTTAGGTATGTCAGAAATTTCTTAATCTTTTTCTTCAGTAAGATCCACCCAGAAAACAAAATTTTACAAGTACATTTTATTTTCCTCACCCATACAAATCAGTGTATTTAAGGTCCAAGATCACTGTTAAATTGTGAGAAAAGGCACTCATCCTAAGCCAGTTCATAAACTGTTTTATGAACTGTTAGGTCTTAGCATATAAATCAGGTGGAAGAGTTTTGCTAAAATTTATGTTCTGACTTTTTTTTGTACTACAAAGCAAGAACCAGACCTTGAAATTTTATCAATTATTATTTATACTACAATTGTGTCCTTAAAGACTTACTTTTGCATTTATGCTGATCTCCAATGACCAATATTACAGGTGCGCTATTCTCTTTACCAGTAAGGACCCCCTGCTTCTCCTACCCTTACTTGGCAACAGCAAATACCTTAACAGAACTACTATTGAAAGTTATGGGCATACTTCATTCCTATAAGCACTTAAGTCTTATACTGACATAAATGTACTTCTGTGATATTCTATTTTGGACACCTGGGATTCCATTTGTTTCTGGCTACACTCTAGACACTACTACCATCACCCTGTAAAATCAAGCACTTACAATATATGAGATAATTTTAAACTCAGAATTCTGAGACATTTGATGGATTTATTTTAATAATGCAGTGGGTGTTATGGGGGAGGGAGAATAAAGACAGGCTCTCACTATGCAACCCAGGGTGGCCTCAAACTCACAACCCTTCCACCTGAACTTCCCAAGTGCTGGAATTATAAACCTATGTCAGGTACACAATAGCCTTTTAATGTAATGAAACAGAAATCAGAGTTTAGCATAATACCCACTAGAATTAGCCATGAAACCTGTGCAAGTACTAAATCACAATATCAATGTGAGATGTCTGAAAGCCACTTCGCTAGGTGATATGCTAAACTCTATAGCTATAAAGAAGGTATTACCTACAATGTAAATATTTCCAGTGTAATGGTTTTGTTAGTTATACAGCAAAAACTACAGACCTAATGGACAAAATATTTTCTTTTAAAGTAAAGAAACATTTCAATCCCTAACTGAAGACATGCACATGGCCAGAAACCTGGGGTTCATGGCAATGCAGGCAGACATGCTTGTCCTCACTGGTATTACAGGTTACTCATGAGGCCATACTAAAAAAAAAAAAAAAAAAAAAAAAAACAGAAAAATTACAAATTAAGATAAATGGTCAAGAGAAAACAAGAGTGCTACTGGATGGGGAGGGAGGCACTGAGATGGTAAATATAACAGATAAATATAAGCCAGTGATTTCTCCAGTAAGGCCTCCTACCTCAGGAGCCTGAACCTGATGAATCAGGAGACAGACCAACAAGAAGGCAGCAAGAGCAGTGCACATAGGTTAAGGAGCTCAAGCTAGGGCTGCAGGGCTGGTGAGTACCAGAGACCAATACTGAACTTGACAATCTTAGCAAGGGCTGAGTCTAAGCAATGTGATCGCCAGCACCTTAATAAAATGGAAGAAAAATTCCAAACTTCCAGAAAACAGACCTAGCCCTCTAAAACTACAACCCTCAAACTTTCTGGCCTAAAAATTAATAAATAGCGTCCAAATCTTATTTCTGTGACTACTGATAAGTATTTACTATTTTTAAACGAGATACTTAAAAGAACATAAAAGCACACAGTCCCTAGACCGTGTCAAAGCCTCTGGACGACCCCAACGCACACTAGTGAAAAATGGATCCAAGGAGTCCCACAACACTGAGACTCACATAAAAAAAAAAAAAAAAAAAAAAAACCTTCTCTAATCAAGGGAGATAGAATTTTTATTTTAAAAAAATAGAAAGCCTCGATTTTATGTTTAAGAAAAACATATAAGCTGGCAGTGACATATACCCTACCACATCCTACCAGAAAAAGCATTCTGGCATTGAGCCTCTGTTGTTTTATTTTTGTGTTTTATCATACAAACATCCTGATACTTGGACCAGAATTCCTAAGCAAGGTTGCCTTAACATGTCCGCCCATCTGTAAGCATCAAAAAACGCCTCTGGAATATGCAGAATACTTGAAGTATCTAGAGCCAGAACTAGCTGTCGGTAAATGCTTTTGTTGTCCACACTCTACCATGTAAGGGTCTCCTATCCAAGTCTTGAAATGTCATTTTAAGGCACCGTTTCACATCTTTTTAAAAACTCTCATTCAACAAAATGAGGTTTAACTTAAAACTTGTTAGTCTTTCCATACAGTTTACGGCTGCAAAATAAAAATGCCCAAGAAACTGGTTCAATAACTAACCCTTTGTACCCTATGTTCCTTTCTTTCAAGCATACAGTCAAACACAGGTTTTCTTTAGATGATAATGGGTTTATTTAAAGACTCTACTACGCCGCGAAATTTTTCTTGCATTCTGACTGGGCTGCATGCCGCTGCCCTGAGTGAATCGTCTAGGACTGGAAGTAGCCACGACCGCCCGACCCCCCGACCCCTCGCGGGCCAGCCGCCGACTTCGCGGCGCCGCCTCGGGCCTAACGCTCCGCGCTCCCGGCCTGACCGGCGCCGGCAGGCCCGGGGCGGCTCCGGCTGTGGCAGAGCAGCTCGAAGGCCCTACCTACAGGCTGCCCGGTCTACGGCCCCCGCCGCGGCCCACGTACCTCCAGCGCCTGCTCCTCCGCCCGCGCCCAAGGCGGCCGCCATGGTGGTCCCCGGGCCCGGCCTTCAGCCGTCCCCCGAGCCGCTGGCGGGCCGACGGCGCTGGTGCGGGCCGGGGGGGGGGGGGGGGGGGGGGGGGGGGGGGGGGGGGCGGGGGAGCGGCGAGGGCCGGACCCGCGAGCGAGCAGAGGCGAGGCCCGCGCGTTGCGATCCGCAGCGGGCCCCTCGCCTCCGCAGGAAGAAAACAACACTACGGCAACATGGCCGCGCCGCGGTGCACGCCGGGAGGAAGGCGGACGGAAAAGCCGGCCGGCGGCAGGAGGGCGCCCGAGGCCCTGGAGCCCGACCGTCAAGGAGTGTCCGGCGACGCGCGCTGGAAGGACCAGCACAAAGAGACAGCTTCCGCCGGGCGACGAGGCCGAGGCTCCAAGCGGGAGGACTGTGGACGGCCGCACGCCGTAAGTCGAAACGGTGGCTGTCATAAGTCGCCTTGCAGCAGTCGGCACGGCTGCGCTTTACGACGACGCCCTCGCCGTCGCAAGTGGCGCTGAAGTGCGGCCCCAGCCGTAACGGCCGAGTCCGGCCTCCGCGCGACTGGGCTTGGGGAGCGGGAAACGCCGCATTCACGCACGCGCACTCGCCGTCTCGCTAGATGGCTGCGACCGTAGTCAGAGTTGAGGTGTGCTGCGGTCGGGCGGGGAAGGGGCAAGAGATGGGCCGGGACTACGCACCCAGCCTCCGAGACTACTCCGGAGCATGCCAGAGGAAGCGCCCACACCCAACGCCTAGAAGGGGAGGTTTCCAGCCAGAAGTGAGCTGAGAGGGCCGAGGGGCAGCGCAGGGTCGGCTCCTGGAGAGGTTGGGCATGGAGGCTGGTCACCTCTCAGTGAGGGAACCCAGACACAGAGAGGCAAGTATTAATCGACGTTTGCGGGAAGTCATGGGAACGGAAAAGAATGTCCCCTATGAAATACAACTTTTGTGTGATTGAAATTTTTCCTCATAAAATGTTGGAGAAAATAAACATTTCTGCTTTTATAAGTAATGTTCATTTAAGAAATAGAAGAGGCCAGGCATGGTGGTGCACACCTTTAATCCCAGCACTTGAAGTAAGTCATACGGAATGAGCATTTGCTTGCACACTATATACTTCCATAAGCACCATACATTTTACTAATTAAAAACTGGCCCAAAAGAAGATTAAATTCCTCAATCAAAAGCCACTGAATCTGCAAGTTCAACCAATGAATCAGGATTTTGACTCTCACTCCGGAACAGTAGGCCCAAATAAAATCATTAAGTAAAAAAAAGATGTATACGTGAGTCAATTGTTGAGAAACTCCTACTAAAAGATGTTCTATGCATCTTTGCAGTCTTCAAAAGCATCAAATTTATGAAGATCTGGGGAAAAAATATAGGTAGGTAGAGTTCCAGGCTAAACCAAGTACAGCACATGAATATGAAAGGGCTTTCCCAGAGTGAAGTGTAATAGTGGGATAACTTGTGAAAATAGGAAGGCCTCAAGATCAGAGAGGTGAAATGTGACAGTTAATTTCCTGACTTTTTAAAAGATTTATTTATTTATTTATTCATTTATTTAGTTACTTAATGTATATGAGTGCTCTATCTGCATGTGTATCTGTAGGCCAGAAGAGGGCACTGGATCACATTATAGATGGTTGTAAGCAACCATGTGGTTTCTGGGAATTGAACTCAGGATCTCTGGAAAAGCAGACAGTGCTCTTAACTGCTGAACCATCTCTCCAGCCCCCCTAATTTCCTGATTTCAATGTGGCTGAATTGTAAGAATTCTTTTGCAGCTGGGTGCAGTGGCACATGCCTGTAATCCTAGCACTTGGGGAAGAAGAGGCAGGTGGATCTCTGAGTTTGAAGCCAGCCTGGTCTACAAAGCAAGTCCAGAATGGCCAAGGGTACACAGAGAACCTTGTCTCAAAAACAATAACAACAAAAAGAATACTTTTGCGTAATATACACAAAGGTAGGAATGGATACCTACTCAAAATTTACAAAGTCATGCATTCAACCCAAACATGGAGGAGGAAAGTTGGCTCAGTGATTAAACAAATAAGCTGAATTTGCCAAGGACCAGTGTTCAGTTCCTAGTACCCATGTCAGGCAGTTTACAACCACCTATAATTCCAGCTCCAGAGATCTGAAGCCCTTTTCTGGACTCTGAGTGTGCCTGCACATTTGTACATACCCACACACATACACATAAGAAAAAATAAAAACCTTTTTTTTAAAAAAGTAGCAGAACATATGATTGATACCAGAAGGAAACAAGAAATGAGACAGAATCAGTGGAATTAACAGGATTTCAAACAATTATAAATATCTTCAAGGAATAAGGGAAAAATAAGGTCCAAATAAGGAAATAATCTTAAGTAAGACAAACACCTGAAAAGGGTTAAGACTTGGGGGTATTCACTTGTCTATGATAGACACAAACTGGAAATGAATCAACCAAAATGGTTAATGAACTTATAAATCCCATGAGTGAAATAGGGTAAGTTTGGAGCCCCTAGCCATAGAGTGGAAACACTGGCTCTCTTGTAGACTTCTTCATGAGCTGTACCATGTACCCCTGAAAGGAGGGGAGAATCCTGAGACTGCCCATCACTGTGATGGCTGAAGAAGGGCATGGTGACCATGTAAGAAATTTTGCCAGCTGGCTGTGCCTGGAATCCCAGCACTGGGGGAGGCAGAAGCAGGAAGATCTCTGAGTTTGAGGCCAGCCTGGTCTGCAAAGTGAGTCCAGGACAGCCAAGGCTACATAGAGAAAGCCATCTCGAAAAGAAAAGAAATTTCACCCACACACATCTTCCTTTTCATCCTTATGTGTTGGTATAATGTTCTTTTAAAATGTATACGCCTTGCCCTTGTTAATTCAAATGCTGATTTCCCCACTCCCACTCTCTGATTTCAATCCGGATATTGCATTGTGATACTCACTATAAGCATCCTGTCTCAACTCTTGTGTAACACAAAACAGGACAAAATAAAGCAACTAGATACAATGTTGTGCAATGGGAGGAGCCAAAGGACAGGAAAGAGGGGAGGAGCTAGAGAGCAGGAGGTGAGTGGGAGGAGAAGGGGCGAGAGGAGAGCTAGGAAGCAGAGCTGGAGGAGAGATCTTGGAGGGCGTGGAGCATGAACCAGAACTAAGATTTCACAAAAAGCAAGTATAATGTGGGAAATCTAAATGTTAGGAAACTGAGGGCTTGAAGGTTTAGGAGGGAGTAAATATTGCCCAGCATTGTGTTCTAGGTTAACTAAAAACCCAGTCTCTGTGTGGTGATTTGGTTATACAGCTGTTTAAGATTAGAAGCAAGCTTTAGAAGAAGATAAACCACTAGTAAATTTTAACTGATTACAACACTTATGAAAAGATTGTGAATCTTCACACTGGGTTGGGGGAGGGGAGGAAAATGGACACCGAATGTTAGTGGTTTTAAAAATGTATTACAGTGTCTTAACCTGGCTAGCACCCAAATAATTGAGACTGGTTTATTATATTTGTTTAATAAGCTTTATAGCACAAGAACCGAGCAGTGTTATTCTATTTTAACCCTCTTAGCAAATCTAGCTACCTCCTCTTGTCTTTTGAAAAATGAAAATCCCAACCATTTAATTTTAACAATGAAGACTCAGGAGCCAGATATTGGCATGAAAATCTACTAGCTCAGAGAGGCAGAGAAAGCACCCAGTTGATCTTCCTATTCAGCCCATGTCCCAGAAAGAAAAATCCCTTCCTATTCACCTTATACTCCAAAAGGAAGAGCTAAAAGCCAAAAGTCCCTTCTCTACAGTGTCTTAAATACCTAACAATTCAAAGTCCCTCTCTGTTTAATCACTGTCATCTGGTTATTTCTCTGACTCTTGACCTAGGGTTAATTTTATTTAGTCCTGTGTACAGAAAGCTCTTGGATTAAAGGTATGCGCTAGGGCTGAGCCACACCATAATTACCTGTTTACAATAAACAGAAAATTCTTGGACTAAAGGTGTGTACTAGGGCTGAGCCACTCCATAGCTAGAAACAGGATTTTACAGTTCACAGTTTTGGAGTTCACAATGGGATCAAATATCCTGCAACAACCTCCCCAAGATACTTGCTTTTACGTCTTTCTCTGCTCCAGCTGCTGCCTTCTGACATTTCCTGGACCTCTCCTCGTGGCCAAATCCCCACTTCCTCTTTCTCTTCTCCTCTCCTGGCTGGCAGGAAGTCCAGCCCTAGTCTCCCTCCTCTTTAGTCATTATTGACATATCCGGGGACAATTAAGGAGCAAAGTTTACTCAGGAGATGCTCAGAAAAAGGATAGCAATCAGATATGGGGGCCACAGAAGTCAGCAATTGAATCTTTACTCAGTATACAATAACATACCTACAACTGAAGCCACGGGGCAGTGAGGAAAACCAGTTCCACTGTGGGAAGAGCACAGAAAACAAAAATACAAACAAACACATGCTGGTCTAGCACAAGGGCTTAAGTGGGAGTACTAGAAAGCCTGCCCTACCCCAAGATTTAGGGGCTGCCTGCCTAACCTGGAGGCCTGACCAATCAAAAGTGGACTTCCCCCTCTTCCCTTCTCCTACCATGGAGACAACAAATAAATACCAAGTGGTGAAGGGCCAGGGGTGTGGCTCAGTGATAAAAGTATTGGTCTATTATCTATGAGGCTCCAGCTTCATCCCTACCAGCAAAAAAGGAGACAAATGTTTTTAAAACAAGTGTCAAAGATTGGGCATATAGATAGGATGACATGCACCTGTAATACCAGTGCTTGAGAAGCAGAGGCAGAAGGATTGCTTTAAGTGCATGGCCAGTCTAGTCTATATATCAAGTTCCAGACAAGCCAGGAATTCACAGCTAAACCCTGCCCCCAAAAATAAAATAAAATAACTGATGAATTCAGTTGGAAGTCATGAAAGGCTGATTCTGTCAAGAGTGCGGCAGGAAGAGTAGGAAAGCCTGGCAGTTTCTTTAAAAAGTAAAAGTACATTTATCTGGCCAGTGAGATAACCCAGCAGGTAAATGCACTGAACCTGACAACCTGAGTTTATTTCCTAAAGCCCACACAGAAAGAAAAGAACTGACTTCCACAGCTTATACTCTGACCTCCATGCACTGCCAGGGTATATACAACAAATTATATTTTAAAGTACACATTATACAGTCGAGCAATGCCACTCCTAATCAATTATCCAAATGAACTAAATAAAGACTGTATTCACAGAAAACCTCTGTGAGTGTTTATGACTTGCATGTGAGTGCTTGTAGCAGGCTTATCTGTGCCAGAAATAATTACCATTTTTCAGTAGGCAGCTGAATGAATTGGTATGTTCATGTAAGGGAATAATGAATGAGCTGTTAATTCACACAGCAACATGGCTGGATTTTCTTTTTCTTTCTTTTTTTTTTTTTTCTCTTTTGAGATAGGGTTTCTCTGTGTAGCCTTGGCTGTAGTGGAACTGTCTCTTGGCTGGCCTGGAACTCAGAGATCTGCCTGCCTCTGCCTCCTTGAGTGCTTGAGATTAAAGGTCTGCACCACCACCACCTGGCATGGATCGATTTTAAATGCATTTGGCTACACATTCAGAAAGCTGAACATTTCAGAGTTCATATATGTTCCAGAAAAGATAAAACCA